CTGGACTGAAATTTCTGCGATACTTTTTGAGAATAACTGCACGACAATGAATGCGCTAATCACCATACTTCAAATTTTTATCACAGGCCGGGATCAAGCTCGCGGAAGTGACACCCTTCGCTGCAAACAACACAACAACCGATCAACGCTCGTTTTTCAGCGCACACCGCACGCTTGACGTCAGCGTTCACTTGTATTACATTTGAATGATTTTTGACACGCATTGGTGTGCAGCGAGGACCGAGTGCCGCAAGACTGCCAGCGGTACAAGTAAGGGAAGTGACCGATTTGAGCTCACTTTTGTTTTCATGTCTGAAGATTGGGGTTGATTTCAGCGGTGCATCTGCACCAAGTGCGCAACCGCCGTTGAAGCGGATCCATGAAACAAGCAAACCCAAGCATCCGGAAGTCAACAGAACACCGACCCAGTGAGAACGTGCCGGTCTGCAGAACTTCGGACCACAATTTCACTTTGCCATTCATTTCATCGTGACGTTGTCACGCTTTCTTTCCAATATTTCCGGCAGGTTCTTACACAAGCCATCCACTCGCATTCTTGACTTTGTCATACAACTCGCGCTGTCTGTCAGTCATACTTTGAAACGACATCATTACTCGTTCTCAATCTATCAAACAGATGCCTGTGTCAGTTCGTGACTTTCGCGGTTTTTTCTCACGTCACAACACCATTTCTCGAACGCAGAACAAGAGCCCAGGCGGTGCTAAACGCACGACGTGTGCAGCAGCAAGACAACAACAACAGTGAACAAAAAGGGTGAAGATCATTTAAGTTCGAATAACGTTTCGAAACATTCGAAACGAATCAACAGCGTTCCATTGTGTTTCTATTGTTCATGCACAAGAACAAAAAAACAGCACTCCACTACAGCGCCCGGGAAAGTCTGGGAAGAGCCTGCTTGTCCAAAACAGCTTCCGTCGCTTTGGACTTGACAGAGGTTGGCAGGAGTTTCACCACAATGCATGTAATGTTGTCGGTTGTGCCGCTTTTTAGAGCATGTTGTACAATGGTCGTACTCGACTGTTCCACATCGGGATGGCATTTGACAATATCGACTAAATCTTGATCTCCGAGCACATCGGTGACCTAGAAAACCAGACGGGCAGTCAAAATCCCCTTTGTTTTTCGAACGGTACACATCCACCTCACAATCCTCTTGATCGTCTACTGGCTTACACCATCGCACACCAGAATAATGTGCGTGTCTTCTTTTTCGTCCAGAAGTGCACAGGAAACGTGTGGAACACTAATCATCTGACGCTTGTGCTGCAAATCTCCAAACGCTCGAGTGATGTTGTAGCGTCCTGTTCAACGCCAAGCCAGAGCGTGCGAGTCAGTTTGGTCACTTGTCGTCTCGGCTCTACTCACTCACATCATTGGTTGGGATATCGTACCATTTACCCGACCATTTTCAATTGCGCCACCGCTTTTTTTGACTCGCGCTTGTTCAGATGCGTCGGTCGCTTTATGGTCGCGCGTTAAACGCACAGCCACTCCATTACAGCTGTTTCAACCAAAGTGGCATCATCAAGAGCAACTCTAAGCACCAGCGCAACAACTCCCCGTCCCAAAAAAACACACACACACAAAAAAAAAAAACAAAAAAAAAAAAAACACACACAAAAAAAAAACAAAGCACCACAACAACAACTTCAGCGAACCTGAGTACAGCACGAGTATCGCCGACATTGGCCGCATAGACAACTTTCTGTCACGCCAGCAAAGAGTAATGGGTTCACACACACACACACACACACACACACACACACACACACACACACACACACACACACACACACACACACACACACACACACACACACACACACACACACACACACACACACACACACACACACACACACACACACACACACACACACACACACACACACACAAAACATAAACACACACACACACACACACACAAATTTGCTATGCTCACCTGAGGCGGGCCCTCGTCATTCAACTCATCCCGAATCAAGCACAGCGCATTTGTGCAGCCAGACTCGCTGATCCGAGCAGTGGCAATTTCGTAATCAACCTGCTTGAAAATGGGCTCAAACAACTGCCCCATTGTGGGCTCAAAAAAGTGCCCCATTGTTCTGCGACCACCTATACCGCGGAACACCCACAGTTCAATCGATTGATCAGTACCAGACCCAAGAGGTTCGTCTCGCCATGCCTGCATCTGCCTCGGCAGCTCCACACCTTTGGCAAGATTTGCCCGACTAGCCGCGCCACTTCATCGCCACTGTGCCCGTCGTTAATAAAGAACAAGGCTTGCGGTCTTGGCGTTCCCAAGTCGAGATAGCATCCGTGGATATCCTGTGCATCGGAGCAATTAGCAGGGTTCTGATTCTGATGTGTCAAGCGCGGTGTGCACCACCACAGCAACCAAAAACCCAGACACCGCGTTACTACACTTCCAGCATGGAGCGAGTTCGACTTTACAAAAGTACGATAGCCCAAGAATTGCGGGACAGGAGGGAAGGGCGAGGGAAAAGCAGGGCAACGAGAAGGCAGGAAAGAAAAAAAAAAAAAAAAAACAAACCAAAAAAAAAAAAAAAAAAAACCAAATCGAAGGCAAACATCGTCGCGACTCACTCCCCGAGCCTTCCTTCCACGAGTCACCGTACAGGTGGTGCGATTCTCGCCAAGCCTCCATCACCTAGTGACGGCGTGTTTGCCAACACCAACTCCCAATACTGATTAATCTGAGTGATCCGCGTGTTGTTACGCACATTCCTCCAGCAGCGTTCATGTTTGGGCGTTTTAGGTCCTCGACGTCCCTCCACTTTTCCATGCAGGCAACACACAATGTGCCGTACCTCCATACTGGCTCGGTGCATTCGATTGGGATTCCAGCTGACACCGACTTCGTAGCGCTCTGACTGGAAAGTTTGCGAACGTGTGTCGCACTGCGCATCGTGCACCAAGCTTTTGTGCGCCAACGCCGCGACGAACGATCTCATGTTCTTCATGTGAAAAACGAGCGTCTTGTCAAAAATAAAGCTAACAAAACCAACCAGAAATTAAAAAAAAAAAACCAAAAAAAAAAACTGTCCTCAATCTAAATTTGAAACAACCTTGGTATTCTTTGCCACCACAAAAACAGGACATGGAAAAAAACCCAAACGCAAACACAAACGACTCACAACCAGCTCAAAGCTTGGCCGCGGGCTGCACGGAAAAGTCCGCGCGAAGCCGGTGAGCAAGCGAGTCCAAAGAGGCAGCAACCGCAGCGGCACTCTGTCGGGTTGCGGTAGGGTTGTTTTGCCAAGAAGTAGGGAGGCGGCGCATGCTGGCAATACGCTCGACAAACTGCTCAAGTGCAACTCCTCGTTGGAAGGCGGGAAGGAGTCGAGCACGACTGGACAGCAGGGCGGCATTCGGAACTTTGGCAGCGGCAGCATCAGCTGCTTTGCTGCTGGCTGCGGCAGATGCAAGAGAGGCCGTCGTTGCAGGAGCCAAGCGCACATGTTCAATCACCTGGTGGCGGTGGAAGGACGATAGGGCATGGCGAACTGGTTCCGCAGAGATGCCTTCAAAGGCCGGCAGCACGTTCGCATCAAACAACTCACAGCCAAGGAGCTGAATCTGCAAGACAAGGTCTGCTGTTGGAATAGCAATCGTGCTCGCACCAGCACGCTGCATTGCCAGTAGCGCAAGACTTGCAATCCAGTAACTGTCGATGAACGGCCAGAGAAGCGCGCATAAGAACTCGCAGGGCGCTTGTCCACTCGTAGAAATAGACACATAGGACTTGCTGGAATCAAGCGTGACCAAGGACCGAGCGATCAATGACTGCAGAGTCTGTTGGAATTGCTGCAAGTGGAGAAGCCCAACCCCCCAAACAAAGAAAACAAGCCAAAACCAACCCCCGTTCAGAACACGCACACCACGCAGGACTCACATCCACACCCGTGCCACAACGCCTTACAACAGCTGGATCTGGGCAATCAATCAAAAACTCCCGCGAGAGAAGAGTTCGCAGGAAGCCACTCAGTTGACTGGCTCCCTCAACAGAGACTCGAGATGATCCCAACGCGAACAATGGCAAGGCGACCAAGCAATCTTCAATAAATACGTGCATGATCTGACGAGACACAAAATAATACAGACAGTCGGCAACAGTCAGGCAACAGAGCGCTCGCAAACCCAACCCCCCGGCGCCCTAGCATACTGCACTCACCTGATTGCGGTAGTTGGCCAATGCAATCTCGTTCACAACCTCCTCAGGAGAGCTGAGATGCAGCGACAAGGAGTCTGGCACCGAGCTCTCGACGCGATCCAGGTTGGCAGAAACAATGCCTGGGAAAATACCCAGTGAAGCAACGAGCAATGCCGGGGCGTCTTCACCGGCCATCCAGTCCAGCGTGCAGCCACGAGAAGTTAGCTCTGCAGCCAAAGCGGTCAACTCGCGTGCCAAGCGTTCGGTAGGAAGCGACACACTTGGGCGAGATGCAGAGACGCGTACCAAAACATCACCAACGGCACGTTTGACGTTCGTTGTGGAAATGGGAAGCGCAGCGTTGAACACAACATTGTGGTGGTGAAGCAACATCAAGGCACCCAGGAGCTGCGCGGGCTGGAACACATGCAAAAGCTGCTGACGCCGCAGAATCTCCAACCCGAGCGTGTAGGCAAACTGCTGTTTCACACCAGCCTGGAGAGTGCGGGAGGCACCGGCTGGGGCCATCGCGACCAAGCGACGATCAATCCGTTGCGCAGGCTCAAGGGCGGCGTTATATTCCTGCGTTGAAACCGGTCGCCCAAAGCGCACATGGATGCGACCGAGATCAGTGCCGAGAGCCGAGCTGACTTTCAACAGGCCCGATGTGGATTCCTTCGGTTTGGGCAAGCCAAGCAGCTCGCGAACGTACAAGTCGCGCTCAAAGAGGCGCTCGTAGCTGAGACCAACTGGGACCATCTGAACATCGCTCACTCGGCAGTCAAAGAACGGGTCGAGCACCATTGACAGCAAGCCAGTCTTGGGCGGAAGCGACTTGCCTGTGCGGCTTCGCGTACCTTCGAGGAAGAACTCGATCGGAGAGTCGCCATTAATGACAATGGTCTGAACATACGACGAGAAGACGGCCCAGTACAGCTTGTCCGAACCGAACGAGCGTCTCATGAAGAAGGCGCCCGAGTTGCGCAAAAACCAGCTGACGCCTGCCATTGCCATAAAGTCCTGCCCAGCAGCAACCGCCGGAAGAGGAAGATCGTGTGCCCACATGACATAGGACACGATTAAAAAGTCCAAGTAGCTCCGGTGCGATGGCAGCAGCATGACTGGGGCGTGAGTAACGGCCTCGCGCAGACGGTCGAGTTCGGCCAGATCGCAGGTAATGTTGCGATAGAGCTGCTCGAGCGCACCTCGAAGGGTCATGGCCATGGCGCGCAGAGCTGTGACCCGCAGATTGTGGCTCATGGTGTCAAGAATGGAGCGAGCCTCAGCAGCAACGACATCGCGCGGGACGCCTCGCCGAATGGACTCGTCGGTGAGCGTTCGTTGAACCAACGAGCTGTCAAACGCAACCTGTCGGATCTGCCACGGCGCACGCTGCTCTACGTTTCGGTACATTGGCGGCGTGCCGCGCGAGCGCAGACCAAACCGAAGGACATGCATGCGCGGAGAGGCAGAGAGCGCGCCAGACGAGCCAGGCTGCACAGGCATCAGGAAGCAGTCCATGGCATGCGTGTACGATATTTGGCGAATGCGGGTGACGCCGCGGAGATGCCGGTAGACGCCAAAAGTGCTCGTCAGAAGGTAGTTGCGCCAAAATTGCTCCAACTGCCATGCCGGAGACTGTCTGGCAATGAACGTGCGATGGAGGTCCACGTTGGAAACATGCAGCGCAGCAACCACGGCACTCGCATGCTGGGCCGGGTGGAAGGCTTGCACCAAGTCGACAGCTTCTTCTTCCCAATCATCGGCGAGCAACATGCCACGAGCGCGTTCAAACGACCAACCGGCAGTCAAATACCAGCGTAGGGCGTAAACAACAGTCTCGGCGAAGGCCGCCGGGGCACGAACTGGCGGCTGCACAGCACTGAAGGCCTTGCGTTGGCGAACGGTGAACGCTTGTGCGGCAGCCCGCAGCACTTCCCAAGCAACCAAGCGAGACGGATCGCAGGCAACGTGGAAGAACTCGAGTTGCGAGTGGACGCTGCTGCGGCCGAGCAGACCGTTGAAGGGCGCGACGGGTTGACTGGCCACAGCGTGACCTCCTGCCTTGAGCAAGGCCGTTGCCGCAACATCGACAGGCACAATGTCGGCGCGAGCCTGAGCGGACGCTGGCAGTGAGCTCACAAGTTGATCGCCGCTGGCAAGCAGAGCACTCGCGATCAAAGTTGGCCGGTCAATCTGATCAGAAAAAGCAAAAGAAAAAGAAAAAGAAGAAGAAGAAGAAAAAAAAAAAAAGGCGAGAAACACCACCCCCCACAAGGAATGAGAACCAAAGCAACAATGAGCAACTGGAACGAATTGGTACATAGCCAAAACAACGAAGGCGACGTACCCATCCGGCGCACGGGACGGACAAAGCAGGACCGATCAATGTGGTGCGCACGCAGGCGATTGACATGCAGTTAGCGTACTGCGCCAAAACGTGCTCAGCGAGGGCTCTCGAGAAAGTGTACAGGTCCGGATAGAGCTCGAGAGCGGTTCTGACCAACAAATCACGATCTGATTTTTGTCAAACCAAACAAAACCCCAACCAACCAACCAACCAACCAACCAAAACAAACAAACAAACAAACAAACAAACAAACAAACAAACAAACAAACAAACAAACAAACAAACAAACAAACAAAGAAACAACCAACCAAAACAAACAAATAAACAAACAAACAACCAACCAAAACAAACAAATAAACAAACAAACAAACAAACAAACAAAACCCCAAAGGTGTGAGAAATCCAAAAACTCAGCTCAACCAAGCAAAGGCAAATCGATGCCCATACCATGTGCAGAAAGTGAAAGAACTCGATCAATAGCATCGACATCAACCAAGCCATTGGGCCCAACGCAAGCACGTGCAATGGCAGCAGGGAGAGGCGGGAGCGTTTCTCGCAGTGTAGTTTGACGGCCTTGGGCGAGCAAGGGAGCAGATACAAACGCCGAAGAAAGCACCACCACACGAATGTGGCGATGAAATCTGGTCTGCAGCAGCCGCATCAAGCGCGCAGTACCGCCAACATTGACGGTCACGGCATCGAGCAATGCAGCACTGCGATGCGCGCGGCTATTGTCGGACGCCAGAGTAGCGGCAAGATCAGACGCAATCGACACTCCAGCGCAGTGGTAAACTGTGCCAACATGCGCGACCAGTGTTTGCAGACTTTGCCGCGGAATGGCGAGCGTTTCGGTGGTGGAGGAGAGGTCAATGGGCACGCCGACCAGACGGACGGCCGTGGCAGCGCGCGTCAGCAGTGAGTAGACCAGGATGGAGCCGTCCGGTTGCACCTCCCAGTGCAGCTCTGGAGCCCGAAGAGCGAGTGCGGCAGTGACAGATTTTACCAAGCCAGCCACTCGTTCACGGACACGCTGTTGAACGATCTGCTCGTTCAATTCGCTGCTGCTGCTCGCCGAGTTGTTAGCCATTCCGGATGCAGGAAGCAGTGTTGTTGCTGGTCGCAATGCCAGGTAAACAAGGATCTGAGAGTCAAAGTGTTTCAAGTTTCCAGTCAGTCGACCCTGATTCTGATTTCCTGAGTTGAACTGTGTGTGTGTGTGTGTGTGTGTGTGTGTGTATTTTCATTGGGAGATGTGGCTTTCTTGTCTTTCACGTCGATGTTTTGGAACGCGCTGCCCTTGATTCGATGTTTTTGTATGGAGTTGCATTGCAATCAATCTTTGCTTCCCAATCTCATGTCCATCAATCTCAGCCTTCTTCCAATTCTAAATCAAAATGAAAGACAACCAACAACGCCGAATGAGAATGAAAAATGACTCGATGTCTGTCATTGTGCGAAAATTTGAGTCGCTGCATGATGATGATGGATGGATGGATGGATGGGATGGATGGATGGATGGATGGATGGATCGCTTTCGCTGCAATGCATTCAAACAAACCTCGTGCTGGTGAGTCGGATCGGCACCCGCGGCAGCAGCAGGAGGGGCACGCGTCGCACTGAGGATGCCGCGTGGACACGCATCGCTCTTCAACGCAGTGCCGCCGGCGCAGCAGTGGTCGAGGAGCAGCTGGGCGAGCAGCGCAGTGCCGACCGTGCCTGTAGCGCCAGTGATCAGCACGGCGGGAGTGTCAGTCCTTGTGCTGCTACCAGCCGATGCTACAACAGCTGCTGCTGCTGCTGATGATGATGAAGATGATGATGATAACGGCGAGGCAGTGCGGTTGGCTGCAGTCGCAGATGAGAACGATCGCGCTCGAGCGCGCGCGTCAAAATCCATCGCGCGATTTGGTCTGGCTTCAGGGGAACGTGGAGTGAGTGTGAAACAAGTAGGGATGCGGATTGAATTCAAGCACACACTCAACAGAACGAATTGGAAGGAAGGGAGAAAAAGAAGGAAGGAAAGAGCGACAAAAAGTGAAAATGATCAGTCATTGAAGGTTGAAGGTTAAACGGCGAGATTGAACAACATCATCATCCAACAGCTGCAGCTGCAATAGAAGCACACATCAGAGTGGACAACCACCCAGTTTGAACAAAGGAACAGAAACATACAAAAAAAATGGCCATAAAGAAAAAAAAATGCAGCCAAAAAATGCCATCAAGATTGGTCGACAAAGCCGCCCTTGTTCGAACCCATGCGCTGAGGATCTTGCGACGAATATCGAAGGCTACCGGAAGCTCCAGACGCGGTCGGCGGAGGCGGCGGAAGAGAAACTGTACCAGCTGCGGCTGTTTTTGATTTTTTCGTTTTTTTTTTTCAACAGCCAGGCGCAAACGTGAGCTCACAATCCACAGTTCATTCAATACTCAAACCCAGCCATTTCAATAGATTGACCACACTGCTCGAATGCACCCACGGCCATACCTGCGCCATTGGCAGGGCTGCTGCTGCCTCCACCAAACGAGCTTTGATTGGCTGCCGACTTGCCCCACATGATTTTGAGCTTGCGATCGTGAATAATCGCCTTGTTATACGAGCGTTCCGCAGCTGCCTCAGCAAAAAGTCGCGTTGTGAAGGCAACGAACGCACAGGCGGCCTTTCTTGATATTGTGATGGATCGGATTTCGCCAAACTGATAAAAGTAGTCTCTGTGATGAGGTAGAGATTGGAAAAAGTCAGCGAGACTAAGATACGCCACTGCACCACAATTCCACGGCAAGCAAAAGGAGCCAGAAAACAAACAACCAAACAGATGTGACAACAAAACCCTTCTCCAACCCAAGCCCATTCACAACCCTTTACCCCCAAAACCATCCTCTGGAAAGCTCAACCACCACCAGAACAACACTAAAAATAGACGTGGAAACACATACCGCAAGTCGTCTTCAGAAATAGAGTCATCCAGATTTCCAACATAAAGCGTGGTGATGGACTTGTCAGCGGGCGGCGTAATCTTGGGCATCTTGACCAGTTGGCCCAGCATCTTGGCAGCGACGGGGTCGTTGGTGCCATAGTAGCGGTCGACAATGTTTTGCTTGGCGAGCGCGCTGGAGGGATCGGTGGGAAGCTCGTGACGGTACGGACATGTCTCGCCTCGCTTGCACTCTCCCTTGACAAAGAAGGTGCAAATGTGTGCAGCATTGCGCTTGTAGTATGGCTCGCGACGTGCAAGTCGGCTCAAGGCGTCAGGACCGACCTTTGAGACATCGGACGCGGAGAGCACAGCTAGGGCATTATCACCGCCGCTGTTGCCGCTGCTGCTGCTGCCGCCCTCGCCTGTCGCGCCAGGGATGACGACTGCTTCTGCCGACAGCGATCCATGCGCCAGTGGCAGCGTGCCCGTGTACGGCGATGCCAGCGCAGGGTTTTCCGAGTTGGCAATCGCGTTGGCCATATTGTGGACATGGTACTGGCGATTGACGTCCGACCGCGGCAGATCGTTGGCGACCCCACTCAACTGGTCACGGACCTGCACTGGCAGCGCATATTCGAGATCGAGGATGCATGTCTGGCAGACGTTCTTGAGCTTGGCGCATGTCTGGCAGATTTCCGTTTTCTTGAACCGCATATTCCGCCCAGGCTGCCAGCGGAAGATGGTGAATGGCCTTGAGCAGATCTTGCACTCGTTGCCGTATTGTTCCTACCAAATACGTCGAGCACAGCAGGTCGATCAGTTCGAGTCAGTATTGTGCTGGACGAAGCGGACTTGTGCTCCAATGAAGGCCCCCCCCCTCCCCTGCCACCCACTTCCACGAATGACGGTGGCTCTTGCTTCAATTCATCAAGTAGCAGTTCAGCGTGGCCGTCACTCGGAGCGGACGATGTTGTTGTTCTTCGAGTGAGTGGTCTGAGCGACGACGCCAATGCGTTTCCATACAAAAAACACCCCTCACGCTCTCCCGCTTTTCACCCCTTCCGCCCATCCCTGACCCTGTTGCTCAAGTTGGCTGTCGTCCGTCGTCTGTCGCTTGATGGTTGCATCCCAGCCCCCGCTCCACTATTCCCCTTCAGCTGTCAGCCTCTCTCTCTCTCTAGCTCTCTGCCGCTGCTTGCTTCTCTGTCTTATGCTCAGTCTCTCCACCCACCTTGGTCATGCGCAGGTACGGGTTGTCGCCCAGACACGTCTGGCATAGGATGGGGAACTCGGACGACTCCCAGCCCATCACCGACGGCAGCTGCTGCCCAGCGCGCATGGACGTCGACATTGGTGCAGAGCAAATGGAAGGGAGAACTGAGCCTTGAGCCTGACTTGGCAAAGAACAAGTAAAATCAATGCATTACAATCGAAACACATCACTCACGAAGGAGATCAGAGGGACGAAGCAGACAAACAAAAAAAGCATTTGGGAAAAAACCAGCCCACAAGGTTGGTTTGGTTTGGTCTGATCTGCTGAGCAGAAGCAAGTGCAACTACCTGTAAAATCAACAACACAAATCACACACTCGCAGCAAAGCGGAGGAGGGAAGACGAAATAATGAAAGGGGTGGACGAACATGAAGCAGGTTCAATAATGCAAAATCCACACAAATCGTCAACATCCCAGCGTTGTTTCAAAAGCAGCTTCTGCTCGCTGATGATGATGACGATGATGATAAAGTATCCAAGCAACTGCATTTGACTGCCACGTCCCGCACTCCTGATTCTAATCCCACACTGATTCTTAGTAACGAAAGCGCGGTGTGATTGTTCGTTTTGTTTCGAAATGTGCTTTCTATGCGGTTTTCGAGGCGGACACTCGCACGCCGACAACAAGGCGTCATCGACAGAGATCTCCCAGCAAGAACAACAGCAGCAACAAGAACATCAGTCGTCGTCTGGCGTTGTGACACGGTCGAGATTGCGCGCTAGCAACAGCGCCAATCCCAATCCCAACCCCACTCCCAATTCTAGTTCTACGAGCACTGCGACGACTGCGACTGCGACTGCGACTCGGGTCGGATGGCACAAGTACCGCAATGACAAGTTCCCTGGCAAGGAGTACGTGCCCACGCGCGCAGAGCACCTCGCCAACATTTGGTCGCATGCGGTAAGGATTCGGGGTTCCATCTGTCGAAACTGACCAACCGTTGGCGCTCGCTCACTACTGGTTGCACTGTCAACACATCGGGGGGGGGGGTTTCTAACCTGCTCCATCATCACTCTCAGGTCGGCATTCTGTTTGGCTTGTTCGCGCTGTGGGACATGCAGCGAAACGCGGATTCGCGCCCAAAGCTGGTTGCCGCCTGGACGTACGGCGTCTCTCTGATTGCCCTCTTTGGCGTGTCGACCATGTACCATGTCGTGTTTTACAACCACTGGGGCGAATTTCTGACGCGCCTCTTCAAGCTGGGCGACCGCGTCATGATCTTTGTGTTTGTCGCGGGATCGTACACACCCTGGATTCTGCTCGTCGATCTGCCAGACAGCTTCCTGTGGGGCGAGACCATGCTCACCGTCATCTGGAGCATTGGCTTTGCGGGTATTGCCTTCTCGTCCTTTTTCACGCTGACCAAGCGGCGGACAACCACGGTCGAAATCATCGAACTGGGCTTTTACCTCGGGATGGGCTGGATTGGCGCCTTTGTCGCGCAGCCCATGATGGCGTCCGGCGTGTCTGGGGTGGCGCTCTCGCTTCTGGTTGCAGGCGGCCTCAGCTTCTCCATCGGAGTCTACTTTTTCCGCCTGGACGGCATCATGCCGTTCGGACACACCGTCTGGCACATCTGGGTGATTATTGGTTGCGCCTTCCACTATCACGCCGTCTGCCACCACTTGCTGCCCTCCGCGACCCACCCTTCGACGCATGCCATCATGTCGAGCGCTTAGAACCTCAGAAGGATCAGATTGTTGTTGTTGTTGTTGTTGTTGCTGTGTCCAGTTTTTTTTTTTTTCAGTCCAATCCAAAAACCCCTCGTCGTTTCCTGCACCTCTCTCCTTCCTCCGCAACGCATTTTGTGAAAAAGTGAAGGTGATGAAATCGCAAGGATTGTTTTATCCAGCAGCCAAAAGAGAGCACAGAGACGCAACCACACGGGATGGAACACGCCAGCATAATGTCACTTGAGGAGACGGACGAGCGTCGATCGAAGGGAGCACAACGACATGGGCAGCAAGACAACTTCCAGAAAAACGAATCTCTTTAGAAGTTGAGCTTGGTGCGCCTCCAGTGGCGGCGCTTAGCGTTGTAGCTGCAAAAAAACCAAACCATCGAGCGCACACGAGTGAGTGACAAACCATAGAGCGCACTGCAGCTTCCTGTGCAACCCCGCGCGGGCTACCGTCTCGCTGCAATGAGCGCCACAAGTGCTGTGCAAACAATGCTTACCGGATCGTGTTGTCCGTGCGCAGGCGGAACCAGTTGGGAATGGGGCGGTTCTGCTTGATCTTCTTGCCAAGCTTTCGCTTGATAATAAAGCTCTTTTGGGACGGCTGTGGGATGGAGAAGGATGCACGAGATGAGCGTGCAAATCGACACGGACAGATCAGGGAGGGGGTGGAAGGTGAGCAAACAAGTGGGGACTGGGGAGAAGGAAAAAAAAAAAAAAAAAAAAAGATGCCCGCTCTCGTTCGCTTCCCAATAGCGCTCTGTTGCCCAGCCGGGCTGTGCTGGAGACGGTTCAGCAGCGACATGTCTGTAAATCGCGGTCGAGGCGACAAACGGAGACGCAGGCGGGCACAGAAAGCAGCACCAGACCGGCCAACTGTCCATCCGCCGTCCGACTCTCGCTTCTCCAGTGCCCAGCCTTCCGCCGTCGCAAACGCCGTCCCCTCTCATTGCACCCGCCTCGATGACGGTCGAATCCGTTGGGATGTACAATTATGCAACAGATTGGGCCGATGGAGGGCCGATACGGAAGGGCGATTGCTGGGTACGTACCATCGTAAGGAGGAAGAGAGAGCGAGCAACTGGTTGAGCCGAATTCGATTTTTTGCATTTGCATTTTTCGTTTTCCGAGTTGGATGGTTTATTTTTGCACCAATCCCCATTGTCGCCGATCCAAAAGTTACATTCATTGCCTTTAAAATACAGTTTCAACAATTTTATGTCTGTGGGCGAGCTGAACGGAGATGGATTGAGAGTCCATCGTCTATTGCAATGGGTTTCCACTGGATTTCCATTGCCAATCGACGTTTACACACTTTCTTGCTTTTGGCGCGCGACAATCTGTAATAATTCAGTCGCTATTATTATAATACCTGCAGTATTGCGATTCCAGCAAAAGATGTCTCATACGACAACGATTCCAGTCATTGACATTGGCGCGTTTGTCGACGCCGCCAAGCGAGCTGACTCTGACGCCACCGCCGCATCCCTCGGAGCCGCCTTCCGAGATGTCGGCTTTGCCTACATTACTGGCCATGGTGTATGACAAGAAAGCGCACAGTGGCCATTGCCTCTGGCTTGGCTGCCGTTGCATCATGTCCGTTTTGTCAGTTGTGCCTCACCCCCGCCGCCAATGCGAATGGTTTTGACAGGTGCCGTCTGCCGTGATTCAGAAGGCGTTCAGCCACGCCAAGCGCTTGTTCGAACTGCCCATGGACGCCAAGGAGGCGCTCTCCATGACTGGCGCCAACGCGCACACTCACCGAGGCACGTTCGTTCGCAAACTCGCCTTTCGCCACACCGTCATCACTCTCATCGCTCATGCGTTCTGTCGCCATGTCGGTATTACACGTTGCAAACCACAGGCTACTCGGGATTTGGAGACGAAGTGCTGAACGAGGAGACCAAGGATTGGAAGGAAGCCTTCGACATTGGCTACGATTTGCCGCCGAGCGATCCGGACGTGGCTGCAGGAGTGCCGTTGCATGGGCCGAACGTCTGGCCATCGCATGAAAGCGCCCCCGAGCTTGCCACGTTCAAGCACGACCTCGAGCTCTACTTTTCGCACATGGAGCGCGTTGGACGGAGCTTGCTTGTCGGATTTGAAAAGCACTTTGGCCTTGCCGACGGGTACTTTGAGCCCTTCTTCCAGAGGCCGCTCGTGCTCATGCGTCTGTTGCACTACCCGCCGCTACCGGAGGAAATGCTGGTGAGGCTGGATGGAGGATGAGCGTTGATGCAAGCGATCCATTTTGCTTTGATTTTTTTGGTTTGTGTTTTTGGTTGATTTGGTTTTTGTGGTGAGCCGAATTCTGACCTGGATTGTCCAACGTGCAGAACTCTACAACCCCTGGTCGGGATATTGTCACTTGCGGCGAGCATTCAGATTATGGCGGCCTGACGCTGCTTGCCGTGGACGCACCAGGGCTGCAGGTGAAATCCACGAACGGCGAGTGGATTGCGGCCCCGCCGATGGGAAACGACGCGCTGATTGTCAACCTCGGAGACATGATGCAGCGATGGACGAACGACGTGCTCAAGGCCACGCCGCACCGTGTGGTGAATGTCAATCCACTGGCGCACCGGTACTCTATTCCGTTCTTCTTTGAGCCCAACTTCCACTCGATCGTGCGGTGCCTCGAGCCCTGCCTCCGGTTGAGTGGCACGACTGTGCCCAAGTATCCCGATACCCAGTATGGCCCTTATTTGCTATCGCGGTACGACGCGACCTTCAACCATCGCAAGGATGACGAGTCCAATCCCACGAATGCGCGTCCAGGGCGGTACTAGATCTCAACAAAATACACGAGAGGTTGTATTGTGATTTTTTGTTTGTTGTGATCGATGGATGCTTTGCTAAACAAAGTTCTTGAGACTGCATTCCGCAGAACCTGGTTTGGCTATATTTGGTCGCGATGATTCATTTGGCGAGTCTGTTGGGCTTTTTTTCCGATTGGCGATGCGTTCCGTTTCCACTTGCTCCAGATGGCCCCATCGTCTGTCGCGTGGAAGAGAGGCGTAGGGGAGGAAGCCCATAGAAGTCGTGATGTGGCGGCGTGGGCCAGAGAGCCATCGAGTGAAGCAACCAGAGGCGCGAAGCGGCCAAACCTGCTTCGGCAGAAATCAACACAGAGATTGTATCACGAGGCTGATCCTCGGCCGCATCGAAATCGCATCCGCCTCCTCGATGGCATCGAATGGCATACGTCTTCTCGATAGCATCGAAATCGCATCCTGTCAATGACTCGGCGCAAGTGCTCGGTTCAATGTGCGAAAACAAAAAGGTGACTACAACCTCACACTCGCATGTCTTGTCGGGACTTTAACATGACGGTCTACCTCGCTCATGTCGAGGCTGGAGCCTTGCCATGCCTGGTGTGTTTTTGGGTGGATGTGATTAAACGCGTTCGGGCGATATGTCGTTCCAGGGCGAGGGTGTGTTGCTAAGCATTCGTCAAGTTCATTAACCAAATCCGTCTAGATTGAAAACAAAAATAACGCATAAAATGCGAATCGAAATAAAATAACCAACCTGCAACAACAAATCAAATGCGGCCAAGCCCTCGAGCCAGGGATTAGGTCAAACCAGTCCTCTTCACAAGTTCACTTCTCTTACCTGACACTTGGCCAAGCAATAGGGTACGTGAATGATGCAAATTAGATCTGAGCAACACCTCCCCTCTCCTCGCAACTTTGTCAAAATCACACAATCTCTCGCTTTCTCTCTCGCCCAGCTTCGCTGCACCAACCTGGTCATCACTTGCGCAAGATGCTGGCGAAACGCGCAAGCCAGATCCCCCGGTCATTCAATGGTGCCAAAGAAAAAAAAAAAACGAAAAAAAGAAAAAAGAAAACACTGGGAATGATCCAACCCCCTGACACATTGGGCGCTCTCCGGCTGCTCGCGACACACTCTCGTCGTGCGACCCAGTGTCCGTCGACGAGCAGCACATCTTGGAGCCAAGAGTCAGGGGCGGGGGCTCCATCTGCGGCTGTTTAAGCCGGACGACGCTTGAGTGAGTGTGATGAATTTGACAAGCCGCTCCTTTTTTTTTTTTTTTTTTTTTTTTTTCCGGTTCCATTAAGATTTGATCGTGCACCTCCAACCGAAGCGGCGTTTGTTGCCCGTTGCTCGGCTTCTCCCCCCTGTTATTTCGGACCATGGCCCACTACGGTGCCTCAATGTCTCCCAATAGTGCAACGACCTGCTCACGTGGAGTCGTCGCGCAAAAGGATGTGGTCTCCAGGAAGTGTCTGTTTCGAGCTGTCGCTTTTTCTATTTTTTATTTCTTTCTATTTTTTTTTCCCTGTCTCTGATTCGCATTCGCATTCAATTACTTCTCGCTCATGATTGGACATTGAAAAAATCGTTCGGCCCCTAATGGCAGTGATTGGCGAACGTTGATTTGGCCTTGCTCGCGCGCGTTTTTGTTTCCGCATACTGTACGGCCACACCCCGCCAGCCCAGACCTCCATCCAGATGGGGTGTGAGGAAAAGGTTTTGGCTGAGGATTGGATAAAATTCGTCTCAACGCAAGCAACGTCCTAGAGCGAAACAGGTTGTTGACCTTTTTTATTTTATTATTTTTTATGTTTTTTTTTTTTCTCTCCTCCGAATGTTTCAATCCATTCTTTGACATCAAGATTTTCCCACTCAATCCATCTCCGGCCAAAACCTCACTCGCCATTTTTCGAGTTTAAACAACCAAACGAAAGAGCTTGCAAGTGAGTATGCAACACGACGGACAATGTGGAGCAGCGTGAGAGGGGAGCTTGACAACGAAACAGCAACCCGCACCTCGCAACGCATTTTCTGGGGGGGGGGACTCGTAGGAGCGCGTTGAGTGCATGTCTTTATGTGGTTCAGCCTGCTGGCAAAGCGAGTTGAGGATGCGGTATCTGGATTCCTACTCGGCCTTTTTTGCGTGTTTTAATTGTCGATGTTTCACTTTTTCGCATTTCATTTTCGGGCGGCTTGCTTTTGCCTCGACGTTTTGCTCTTTCTCGACGACTTGCAGCACCGACGCCTTGCAGCACCGACGACTTGCAAAAAGCTCTCGTCTCGACACCCATGCGGAAGAAAATAAAGCTACAAAAGATTCGGCGACAGCGAGAAGAGGTGTCGTGACAGAAAAGTCCGCAAGGTGCGTAGGCGGATACGTCCTTTCCGTTTTTCGACATTTGGTTTTGAGGCAGCTTTCTGCAAGGAGGACCTTTAATTCGAGTGAAACAACTTGTTCTGGAGGCTGCTTTATTTCTTGGCGACATAGTGGAGATAGTGGACATAGGTGGGGAATGTGGGGGAAAGAAAGAAAGCGGGAGAGAAGATGCATCGCCTCGCGCGGAATGGAACGTGTACTCCACCTTGGAGACAGTCCCATCTCGCACCAGGTGGTATGTGTGCACTCCTTTTGGTCATTTCATCGAAATTCTTCTCGCAGGCGTAGCCTCGAATAGGACAACAACCAATTGACATGCAAAAAACAACAAAAACAACACAAAAGCAAACATGCACAAAAGAAAAAAAAAACAAGAATTCACAAGCCGTCAAATTCATCAAAGTCAATTCCATTTCAGCGCTGCCCAATTACCCATTCGCCCAATTGCCCAGCAATCACGCCTTCTTCCCCTTCAACATTTTTGTTGGCCAAAACCAGCAACGTTATTGCTTCCGTTTGATACCAAGCAATTTCAGCTCGAGAACTCGCACCACCTAAAAAGCATCAACCGGAGTCAGCACCCTCAATGGCTTTCGTGAAACAAAAACCATCAAGCTTGGCTGGATTGTTGTTTACTGTGCCTGGGTGCCGATGCAAGTGCGACGAGGAATTATCACATCGCTTCTTGGCGTCGGGGCATTCTTTGGTTGGTGTTAGACCCGAGCATTTCCTACTCTAGTTCTTTTCTTGGTGGATGGACGGCTTTTTCGGATTTGCTCTGCTGCCGTTGGTTACAAACCAAAGCGAGAGTTATGGGGCACAGGCGACGCAGAAGCGCACCAAGCTGAGTTTTGCGTGATGCAGCTTGTTGATTGCTCCGAGATGCGACGCCTTCCTTTCACGCTCTCGGTTTTCTGCAACGCTTTGATTGGATAATGGTGGATGATTCGACAGCGAGCTGCCATTTGGCAACATGAGCACTTTTTCAACGTCTTTAGGGTCTGACCTTTCTCATTCTTTTTGCCATGGTGCTATGATTTCTGGTTTTTTTTTCGTTCTTTTTGCTTGGTCGGGGGCACGTAGCACATGTCCACCTGTTGATTCTGGATGGTTTGGCGTTGCTTCGATGCGTGTTGCATTCTTCTGCTGTTGAATCTCTTTGTTTATGGAGAGTTGTGTGATCTACCCGCATCACCAGGCGCTCATTACTATGGGACCACAAAAACAAATCAACAAAAACAAAACCGTTTTTTTTTTTTCGGTTTGGGCGGTTCATTCCTCTTGCTGTTGCCAACCCGCCTGTGATCCACCATGTTCGTTCGCTACGTGCTTGTCTTCGCGTGCTCTCTCTCTCTCTCTTCCCCCTTCGCTCCTTGTGTTCATCCCACTATTTTTGACTTGTTTGCTGTCATCACCCCCGTGTTTCCCTTTCCACCATTTTTTTTTTCATTTTCTTTTCCATTTTTTTTTTCAATTTTTCAATTTTTGGAGGTGTTGTGTCCCCTTTTTGCATTTTGCACGCGCGACTTTTTTTTTTTTTTCTTTTTTTTTTTCGTTGCTGCGATGTGTCATAAAATGACATTTTCCCAGTCCTCCTCGCATTCGATTCCCCCGTTGCCACTCAACGCGTCTTGCTGCTGCTGCTCTGTGACTTTGCGTGCTGCGGGCGATTTGTGATTTGAGTTGTCTCTCACTTTGGCGTGTGTCTGTTCTGGATCTGCTTTTTCCTTTTCTGCGCATAATCTTCCGATTTTTTTTTTCTCTTTTTCTTTTTCTCTTTCTTTTCGTTCTGCTTCTTTGCTTTCCCATTTCCGTTCCCCATTCCCCATTCTCTTCCAAATGCCTTGTTTCTTCTTCTTTTCGTCTCATTCTCTTTCTTGTTGCTCGATTTGCTTCATTTCTTAATTTTTTTCCATCTCTTTCTTTTCCACTGTTTTTTTTTTTGTTCATTCCATTGCTTCATTTGTTTTTTTTTTATCTTTTTTTTTTCTTTTTAATCTTCTTCTTCATTTCCCAACAGTCGCGCTTTCCCCGCATCGCATCGCATCGCCGCTTCTCGTCGCACTCGCCCTCGCCCGCTTCCTCTCGCTGCCTCCCAGTGTCGTCGCTCTCTGCCCCCGCCAAGTCGCCGCCTGTCAAAGCCGCTCCGCCTGCTGAATCGGCATTGTTGAGCGCTGGCCAACACCTTTTCATTTTTTTCTTTTTTTTTTCTTCTATGATCACAACCACCACATCGACGAACAATCACATGCACAGCATCGCCGCTCTCAGCAACAGCACCATCGGCAACAGCATCCCGACAAGCCAGCACAGCAGCAGCACCTCCGCCCTGAGCCAGCAGCAGCAGCAGCAGCAACAGCAGCAGTTTAGCATGGCGTCGTCAAGCTTTGGTTATCAACTGGCACCACTGGCCATGTTCCACGCCGGCGGCTGTCCTCCTCACCCGCAGCACCACCCACAGCACCACGCGCAGCACCATCTCACACAGCAACAGCACCAGCAGCAGCCACAGCAGCCACAACAGCAGCAACAGCAGCAACAGCAGCAGCCGACTGGCGGTTTGTCCGCATCTGGACCGAGTCCCAGCAATTCGCAGCCGTTTGCTACCATGTATTCGCAGCCACCCCCTTCCTCCGCCCTTGCTCACCACCCTGCAGTGCCGATGCCGCTGCCGCTGCCTGCCTATTACAACAACAGCTGCAGCACTGCGGCGGCAGCAACAGCATCCACTCCGACGCCGACGCCGTCGCCAGCAAACCCAGCAGCAGCGAGCGCACTGACTCCATCGCTGTCGGCATCATCAGTGCTGCAATTAGGCGCCGCCGCCGCCGACTGCTCAAGCACCAGCAATGTTCTCATGTACCCGCCCCATGCGCATCCGCATGCACTCCATCTGCAGCAGCAGCAGCAGCAGCAGCAGCAGCGCTCAAGCACGGGTGGCGCTGCAAACACGGCGCACCAGCTGCAACAGCACTTACCCTTGATGCTCAGCACGACGCCGCTCTCGTCCTTGTCCTCGTCGTCGTCGTCGTCGTCGTCCATGGAGCTTCCTCACCGCCGCCGTAGCAGCGCGTCATCCACTTCGTCCTTGACGCCATTCCTGCAGCCGGGACAGGGACAGGGACAAGTGCAAGGACAGGGACAGAACTTTTTCTCGTCGCAGAGCTTTCCGAGCCACGCCACGCCCGGATTTAACGCCCAGCAGCACATCCAGCACCACTACCTGCTGTCTGCCTCGTCCACGTCGGGCTCTCCTCCTCCATCTGCAAGTGCATCGCACCAGCCAAGTGCCACACCGATGCCCCAGCCACATCACCAGTTTTATAGCAATGGCAACGCGTTGTCCGAAGGCCAGCTGTATTGGGGCAACCCGACTTCTTCGCATACGCCGTACCCATCCTCGGGTCCGATGCTGCTGCAGCCGCAAATGATGCTACAGCAGCAGGTTGCCTGCCATCAAGCGGCGTACCCGCAGCAACAGCAACAGCAACAGCAACAGCAGCAGCAACAGCAACAGCAACAGCAACAGCAACAGCAACAGCAGCCACCGCTGCCACAACAGCTGCAGCTGCTGCAGCCGCCTCAACACCTTCAGCACAAACTTACTGGTGCCATCCCGGAGGAAGAGCTGTACAACGCCACGCAAAAGGATCACGACGAAGAGGACGAAGAAGACGAAGACGAAGACGGCGAGTATCACGAAGACGACGACGACGACGACGACGATGGCGACGATCCTCGTTCAAAGAGGCAGCAAGCCTTCAAGCGCTCGACGTCAAACCGCTCTTCGTCGCAGTGGAATGGAAAGCAAGCCCATCATTCACATCAGCGCGTGCGTACAAACCCCAATTCGCACATTCCTCCAATGATTACGGAGGAGGCATGCCAGGGCTTGTCTGCGGAAGCGATCGTTCGCCAGTACCGTCGTGTGGCCAGCAACGGACAGCGCCTTTGCCCAGTGTGCTCGCTCGGCTTTCGCCGCATGGACCGCCTGGTTGGGCATGTGCGCAAACACACCCACGAAACTCCGTTTGTCTGCGCCGTCTGCGAGCGCGCCTTCAAGGAGTCGGTGGCCTTGCAAAAGCACATGCGCGCGCACAGCGACAACCGCCCCTACGAGTGCGATGTCTGCGGCAAGTGCTTCAAGCTTCCCCACCACCTGACGCGCCACCAGCGCCAAATTCATGCACTTCCTTCCCGGCGCGAGGCGAACCGGATGCGTGCATCGTCCCTGTCAGACCCTGAGGTCCAGTCTCTCCAGCGACAACACCGCACAGAGCTGGTCAAGCTGCAGCGCGAGCAAGAGAAGCAACTCGCCACAGTCATCCGGGCCAGGACGGATGCAACGCCGGGCTCCACGTCCCCATCCACGCTCCGCCCCACGCCGCCCGCACCGCACGGGCTGACTCCGGCGTTCGGCTTTGCGATTGCAGCCGAAATGGAATCCCTGCAGTCGCAGCGCGATGCAACGCTCCAGATTCTCACTTCGTCGCCTCAGCGCCCGACTGCCGCCACGGCCCCAGTCGCCTGGGGCCAGCCCACTGCTGCCAGCCACGGCAGCCCGCCCTTCGATCCGGCCGTGATGACCATCACAGGGGCCCGCAGTAATGTCTGGTGCGCCTCGCCATCGGCAACCAGCGTGTCGTCCTTTGCCAGCACTCCCTCTCGCCGGTCCTCCTCCGCCATGAGCGATCGCTTGCCAGGGATGACTGTCACTTCCCCCATCCATGTTACCTTTGCGGCCGGCACGCCATTTCATCTTCGCACGGCCGAGCCCGTCTTCAACCTCGCGGCAAAGTCCCGGTCGACTTTGTCAGAGTCGTCTACCAGTTTCCAGGACCCCTCCCTGGTGTAAAGTTTGACCTGCAGTAGTGATTCCAGGTGCATCACCTGCGCACTCGTCCTGACGTATCGCTTGTTCAAGTTTGTGGTCGATCCATCTCGTTCTTTTCGATTTGTTTTTTCGTCTCCTTTGCGTGAGACTTTAGTTTTTTGCCCCCTCCCCTGCTTGTTGCTCGTTTTTTTTCCATTTTATGCTGTGAATTTCGCTCGGATTTGTTAATTTTGCCACCTCGTTTCCTTTCTTAGTTTCCTTTCTTCCTATGCCTTTGTTTTTGTTTTGTTTTCGTCGTTGTGCCATTTCGAACTTTTTGAACGGTTGGCTTTCTTGCTGCGCTTTCGTCGCTCAATTGCCTTGTTCAGTGCCGTCGTTTTTTGTTTGTTTTGTGGAGACACTTTGTTTATTGACAAATACACCTTGGTTGGTGCTTGATCGTTGTTTCTGAGCGCTCGATGGAGGATGGAGTTTTCCCTTTCCAGCACATTCAATCATGCGATGGCATCAACACACACACAAACACACACACTCACCTTGATGTTTTGATGTTTGGATAATCCACTTTCACTCCGTTTGCGCCTTTCTGATTCTCGCTTTTTCTCAGTCTCCTTTTCGTTTTCTGAAAAAAATCCTCCGCAGCAAAACGCGCAACGATGGAGTCGGCTCGAGCGCGCTTCTCGTACGCGTCGACCCACGCCAGCTCGTGGGTTTCGCTCGCACGCACTGCCGAGCATGTCATTGTTGCTGCCGTCGTGGTCAAGGTCGCGCACCACGTCTACTCTGTTGGTGAGTCGTTTTCGAGTGTATCAATCCACCACTACGGCTTCAAGCAGGATTGTTTTGCTTGTTCCGTTCCGAGTCGCCCCGCCGATTGCATCAGAGCGTGGTCCATTGTATTCGAATGCGGTACATTTGGGGGGCTGGGGTTTGCACTTGGCATCAGGGTTGGGGTGGCGGTCCATTGGGGCAAACAAACCCAATAATGCTCCGCTCGGTCACTTTGTTCAATGCCGCTCTGTCACAATGGCCTTGTCCCGCCTTTCACAAGCAGCAAGCAGTGAAATCTGCTCTTGCATTCGCATCAGCAGCACAGTGCAGCACAGTGCAACTCAGCTCGGCTCGGCTCAGTTCGACTATTTGGAGCTGTTGGGAGCCAGCAATTTGAACTCGCTCCAATCCTTCTGGCTCACTTGACGTTTCGTCATGGCGGCGTTTCGATGGACATTGTGCAGGTCTCAAGAAGAGCATCGGCAAGCTTCTCGTTGGCCTCGTGCGCGCAGTTCCCGGCGGCAGTTCGACCCTCGACGCGACTCTTGAACAGGTAACGCCTCAATTGCAATGTTCTGGTCTCAAAATGCTACCGAATGGATGGCTGATGTATGGATGCTCAACAATTGTATGGCCTGCTATTGTAGGAGGTCGATAGCGCAGCCAAACTGCTGACCAAAGACGTTCAACCAAACCACCCAAAAATGCAATGTATTTTGCAGCTACCTGCTGATGTTACGTACCTCACCCTACTCCACTTTGTCTCTGGTCTATAGCTCATCGCTTTGATTCCCTGCCGACAACCGGCCTGTCTCGCGAGGTCGTGCTGAGCAAGCTGGCCGACCTCAAGCGCGCCGACATTGACTCGCACGCTGGCAAATCGTGGGCCTACGTGTACTCGCAACCGGACAACACCTTTGACGACTTTCTGGCCGACGCCAGCAACCTCTTCATGCACGAGAACGCACTCAACCCGATGGCCTTCCCTGCCTTGCGTAAAATGGAAAATGACATTGTTCGAATCTCGGCCACCCTGCTCGGCGGTGACGCTCGTGCGTGCGGCACCATGACCTCGGGCGGCACAGAAAGCATCCTCATGGCTGTCAAGGCCCACCGCGACCGCGCCCTCAAGCTCCGAAACGTCACCGAACCCAACATGGTCATTCCCATCACTGCGCACCCCGCGTTCGAAAAGGCTGGCCATTATTTCGGCGTCCAAATTCGCCACGCCCCCGTCACCAACGAGCTCGAAGATCCTCGTGTGAGCGTTCCTGCCATGGCCAAACTGATTGATCGCAACACCATCATGCTGCTCGGCTCGGCGCCCCAGTACCCCCACGGCGTTATCGACGACATCCCTGCGCTCGGCGCGCTTGCTCTCGCGCGCAACATTCCGCTCCACGTCGATGCGTGCGTTGGCGGCTTTATCCTTCCTTTCATCCGCAAGTTCCGCCCCGATCTCCCTCGCTTTGACTTTTCCGTTCCCGGAGTCGCCTCAATGTCTGCCGATCTGCACAAGTATGGATTTTCTTCCAAGGGCTCCTCTGTTGTCCTGTACTCTTCCGAAGAGTACCGCCAGTACCAGTTCTTTACGTATTCCGAGTGGCCTGGTGGTCTTGTAAGTGGAGGATTGGTTTTTTGCGCCTGTTGTTGTTGTTGTTGTTGTTGTGATTTTGCCTGGTTGGCATCATTCTCACTGCACACGCTTCTGCAATGTTTTGCCAAGCACAGTTCATCAGCCCTTCGATGTGCGGCAGCCGTGGAGGCGGCCCGATTGCTGCGGCGTGGGCATGCCTGCTTTCGCTCGGCGAGAGCGGCTATGTGCAATCGGCACGCCTCATCATGGACACTGCTGACAAGCTGAGCAACGGGGTGCGCGCCATCCCTGGTCTGCGTGTGATTGGCAAGCCTGACGCTTGCCTGGTATCCTTCCTCTCGACGGATCCGACTGTGGATATTCTGGCGGTTGCCGACGTGATGGTGAGTGTGATTTTTTTGTTGTTGGTTTCTGGTGCCGCGGAAGAAGCAACTTGCGTTGGTAGGCTGTTTTCCTGACTGCCTTGTTTTGTGTCTCGTGCAACCAGGAGGAGACTGGCTGGCGCATCGAGCGTCAGCGCAAGCCCAGCAGCATTCATTTGTCCGTCATGCCCCAGCACGCCAAGATTGCCGACAAGTTCATCAGCGAGCTCGCGCAGGTATGAGTGGCAGGAGCAAGGGGTGCAGGTGTGTGCGCATAATAGCTCACTTTTGATCGCGTTCAGGCTGTGAACAAGGTTCGCGCGAATCAGCAGCTGGCGAAGGCTGGCTCGGCTGCCATGTACGGCATGATTGCGCAGATTCCCGACGAGAAGCTGATTGGTGAGTGGGCATTGTTTGGCTTGTCGGATTTATTTTTATTTTTATTGATGCACATTTGCCATTCCTCTTTGCTGACGACCTTGTCGATTGTTTAGAGAGCTTCCTTGTCAAGTTCATGGCTCGCCTGTACACTCCGACACGTCCTGCGGAGGGCGGTGCCTCGACCTCGAGCAGTTCGAACTGAGGCTGTTTTGTGTTTTTTGTGTTTTTTGGATTTTGACAGCAACTTTTTTTGCCCTCTACCGGATCTTTCGGTGTGTTTGCTCAATGTCGAAACACAGTTGAATGGCACCCGTGCCTTCCAACCATTCATTGTTGAACAAAGACCAAAACCAACAAAGACCAACACCAACGAAAACCAACCAAAGCCGCGAAAAGTTGACCTCTCATTTTTCAAACAGCCGTCACAGGTTTTGTTGTTACTCAAACAATTCCTCCGCGTGCTCGAACGCTCAGACAAGCAAACAAATCAAACACATGCACATCAGTCGTTGTTTTTGTTTTTCAGCCAACCGTTTTACTCTGTTCAACCATGTCTGCCTTCTGGGGTACGAAAACCAAGCCCCGCGCAGTGACCAGTTGCTATGCTAATTTCTTTTCGTTCATGATTTTTTTTGACAACCCGTTTTTGTATTTTTAAGTTTTATTTTGCCGCTCTCGCTGAATGCTCACCGTTTGATTCTCGCTCCCCCCTCGTCCGCCTCCCCCTTCTCTCCTCCCCGCTCCCCGCCCCACCCGCGGCAGGTGTTGAGATCGAGCCTGGCAAGATGTACTCGCAGCTCGTCAGCGCGTCGTTCTACATCAAGCTTGTAAGTTTCCGCGACTGTGAAGCTCCCACGTTGTTGGCCCACATGCGCTCCTGCCCCCCAGTACACACTTTCCCCCCTTTCCCGTTGCTGCCCTTTCCTTCCCCCTGTGTGTCTGTGGGGGGAGATCACTCGCGCTCACAGCCCTGAATCGCACAACTCTGCGCGAAAACCGAGAACGCAGCAACGAGCAAATCGAAAAAATCAATCAGATTCGAAATCATCCAAAGCGCAATGAAAACGCAATGCATGAAGCCAAAAAAAAAAAAAAAAAAAAAATCTCCAAAAAAAAAAATCCTCAACGCAACATGTGTGCAGTGACTTCCCACTCAATGTCGACCTTTCTGTGTGCGTTGCTGCTCACTGTGCCGTCCCCCCTCCGTTTACTTGTTGCTTTTGGTGGCTAGGCGTCGCTGGGCGCCGAAGTCGAGGACGACGCACGCGCTACCGTCTACCTGACTGCCGAGCGCAAGACCTTCCCGATCTCGACTCTGATCGGCGGCCGCATCATGCAGCAAAACCTCGATCTGTACATCGAGGAGGGCACCAAGATCACCTTCCGCGTCAGCGGTCAAGTGTACGGGGTCTGGTGTCTTTTTTTTTTTTGTTTGTTTGTTTTCATTGTTCTTGCTCAATACTCACTCGCATCTCCATCTGTTTGTTTTCCACTTCTTAGCCCCGTTCACCTTGTCGGCCACCTTGCACCGATCGGCGAGTACATGGACTACGACGATGACGACGACGAGTACGACGACGACGAAGAAGATGCCGACCTCGAGGACATGGACGACGAGGAAGACTCTGAGGACGACGACGTGCAGACCAAGAAGGCTCTTCGCCGTACGGTTGCTGAGTTGAAGCGTGTGGGGGTGTAGCTGTTTTGAAGACGCGTTCTGACGAATCTGTTTTGCGGTTTGTCGTCACTTTAGGCCTGATTGCCGACGAGGCTGATGACGATGAAGACGACGACGAGGACGACGAGGAGGACGACGAGGAAGATCTTGAGGACGAGGACGACGAGGATGACGAGGAGGAAGACGAGGAGGAAGATGCTCCAGTGAACGGCAAGAAGCGCGCTGCCATCACCAGCCTCCCTGTGAGTTGATGTTGTTCTTTTTCTTTGAACAAAACCATCTCATCCGCACTGCTCACTTCTTGTCAACCTCTTTGCTGCTACCTTGCATTTTTTTGCAGGACTCCAAGCGCGCCCGCGTTGAGGAGAAGAAGCCCGAGGCTGCCAAGAGCGCTCAGACCCCGACCAAGCCTGTGGTCGCCGCCGCTGCTGCCGCCGCCGCTGCTGCTTCGCCTGCTCAGAAGGGCAAGCAGACCCCGGCTGCCGCCGCTGCTTCCCCTGCCCAGAAGGCTGCTGCCGCCGCTGCTTCCCCTGCCCAGAAGGCTGCTGCCTCGCCCGCTCAAAAGCCCGCTGCTGCCACCGCCTCGCCGCTTCAAAAGAAGACCCTCCAGGGCGGCCTGGTCATGGAAGACAAGGTTGTTGGCACTGGTGCACTTGCCGCTCCCGGCAAGAAGATTGCCTGCTACTACTATGGCAAGCTCAAGTCGGGCAAGATGTTTGACTCGTGCACGTCCGGCAAGCCGTTCGGCTTCAAGCTCGGCGCTGGCGAGGTTATCAAGGGCTGGGACATTGGCATTGCAGGAATGCGTGTCGGTGGCAAGCGCACGCTCACCATCCCCGCTCCCCTCGCTTATGGCGCTCGCGGCTCCCCACCGACCATCCCCCCGAACTCGACCCTGACCTTTGACGTCGAGCTCAAGAACGTCCTTTAATTTGTTTTTCAACCGACCTTTTTTTTCCATACTAACACGCACAAAGGCAGCAAAAAGCACGCACACAAGACAAGAAGAAGAAACAAGATACAAACCTTTCTCGACTTCTTTTTTTTTTTTGGTTCTTTTGTTGTTGGTCATGCTTGCTAAGATTTCTTTTTCATGTTCTTTGTTATTGCGGATGGGTGCGCTCGTTATTCTGGTCGCCTTCGTCCATATTGTTTGTTACACACTAAATTCATTTTTTTTTTCAATGCTTTTCACCGTGCAGTGACTCTGAATTTGCAATGCGCGCGTCACGTTGAGTGTTGATCCAGTGAGATCCTGTTCGTGCTCAGCTCCTAAGCTGGGGCTCAGTTCTCCTTTTTTGGTTTTGTCGTTTGTTTGGATGGCAAGCGAAATTGAGTTTCTTGGCGAGGCGCCTGGCTCCCAGTATGCCGCTTTGTTTTGCTCTCGTTGATTTTAGTTGTTACTGTTTTTCTTTCGGTTCGGTTTCGATTGGGGTTTGTTTCTCATATGACTTTCTCATTCCCAATCCTCACCAACCCTCCCTCCCTCTCTCCCTCTCTCTCCCTCTCTCTCTGCCCCTCCAACGCAATTTGCATCGTCGTTCGCGTTTCCAGCTACTCTGGCGATGCGCTGCTGCTCGCGGACGAGGAGGCGGACGACTCGGTCTCGGTCTCGGGCGGATCCTCAACGCCGACCTCGCAGCTGCTCGCTGGCGGCGTCGGCAGCGCTGGTCCAGACACGGACGCGGTTGCCTCTGCATTGCAGGCCGGCGATCTCGAGGCGGATCGCGACGACGACGACGACGACGACGACGGCGCGGCCAATCCATCCTCGTCCAGCCAACCAGCAGCAACAGGAGGCACTGCAGCAGCGACAGCAGCAAGTCCCGCGCGGAGGCCCAGGCTCGCGTCCACATCGCTCAAGGAAGCTCTTCGTGCCGAGGCGTCCGTGTCCAGTCGATCCGGAGCTTCCGCTGCGAATGCTAACGCTGCAGCATCATCCGCTACTGCTGGGTTAGCACCCGCGGCATCGTCGCCAGCAAGCAACAATTCTGCATCCAGCACAGCATCAGACAAGCCTGCTCCCCAGGCGGCTCATCAGAGCGACAGCGTCGTCGAGTCCGCGGAAGGTTGGTTCAAAGTGAACTTGGCTTTGATTGTGTGGCTGTCAGATTCTGAGATTCTGTGGGAAATCTCATTTTCGCTCTGTCTTGCTTGTAGACATCCCGTTCAACTGGGCGGCAGACGAAAAACACATCTTCATCCTGAGTAATGCCGGCAAGCCCATCTACAGCAGGTGTGTAGTCGAATCTGCGTGTTGCTCTGCGCTGCGCTTGCAGAGCGCCTGCTCATCTGACGCTGGTCTTGGTTGGTAGATACGGAAGCGAAGATCGCCTCGTCACGATGATGGGTGTCATTCAAGCGCTCGTTTCTTTCGTGCAAGACAAGAACGACACGTTGCGGTGAGAAGACTCGAGTTTGTTTGCCGATGTTGTGACGGTTTTTTCTCGCTCACCTTCTTGATGTTGCTCTGCCAGCTCGATTATTGCCGGCGATTATCGCTTTGTGTTCCTGTCAAAAGGTCCCATCATTCTTGTGGCAGTCGCCCGAACGGGAGAATCCGAAATGCATGTAAGCCCTTTGTTGCTTTTCTGTGGTTGTTTCTCAATTGCGCGACTCTGTTGGACCTATCGTTTGCACGTTTCTACCATGCTGACTGACGCGCGATGCTCTGGCCTGAATCACAGCTGAGCTCTCAACTGCACATTGTCTACAATCAAATTATCAGTGTTTTGACACACACCCAACTGACGTCGATTTTTGAGCAGCGCCGCAACTATGACTTGCGTCGCATGTTGGCCGGTACGACCCGCGCTTGCTTTGAGTTGTCTTCATCTCCCAATTTGTACTGACCATTCCTCTGTCATTCTTGTATTTCCAGGCACGGAAAAGTTCTTTGACAGTCTGATCACTTTGGTCGACTCGGACCCTAGCTTCTTTTTGACGGCAGTGCGCTGCTTGCCGTTAGCACCCACCATCCGCAACACTATTGGGCAAACCCTGCAGCAGAATCGACCTGCTGTAAGAAGTTGTACTTTTTGTTTTTTTTTACTTCTTGTGATTTGTGTGAAATCTGACTGAAACCTCTCGTTTGGTGGTTTTTTTGGCGTCAATAGGATTTATTGTTTGCAATGATGATTGCAGAGAAGCAGCTCGTGACCCTTGTGCGACCGAAAAAGTATCCGCTGCATCCTTCTGGTATGTAGAGCTGGCCCAAAACTCCTGTCCGAGCTGCTGACCTTTTGTCGTCCTTTCTCACTGTCTCTGCATCTCGGTGTCCTAGATTTATTGTTGATATTCAACCTTGTCAATGCTTCTACGTCATTTTCGGCCGCGGAGTCGTGGATTCCGCTGTGCTTGCCCAAGTTTAACAACCGCGGCTTTCTGCACGCGCACGTTTCCTATCTCGACGCGGATTTGGAAACCGATGCGGATGCGCCTGCACGCTCTGGCTCGGGACGTGTCTGCCTCTTGCTCATCACAACCAACAAGGACTTGTTCTTTGTCTTGTCCGAGTTCCGGAAACAAATCTTGCAATCTTTGCAAGCGACGCAGTCCATGGAAGCGATTCAAGACGCCCTTGATCGTGAAAACTATCGCATTGGTACGACTTTGACGCTCCATATCTATTTTGAATTGGGAGTGAAACAAGAAGAAGTCTTGTCACTAACTCTGGTCGGTTTGATTTATTGTTTTGTTTTGTTTTGTTTTTCAGCGCATGTCGACATTGCTGGTCTCCGTCATTTCATCTACAAGTCTAAGAACACTTCTCAGTTTACTCAGCCCGAGCTCGAGGCACCGTACACGACGCCTGAAGAGCGCCAACGGTAAAGGCGACTCCAACTCTTTGATAAAACCGATTTGTCTGTTGATTGGTGTTTGCTCACTTCGGATTGTCTCTTTCGACCAACTCTCAGGCTTTTCCGTCAGTACCAGCACGTCCATTCTGCCATCCACTCGACAGCACGGCCACTGAAGATATATTTCAACAATGGATCGAAAGAAGCCATGCTCGGATGGGTATGCTCAGGAATTATTTTTGTCTTTGCCTGCTTGCAGTTCTCTGACCTTTGCCTTTTCCCCCGTTCGTATTCGCAGATCACCACCAATTTTGAGCTTTATGCCACTTTCGGACCGCTCGTTACAAAGAGTGGTGCTATCGCGGCAGTCAATCGTCTGCTCCAATGGATCAAACACGAAGAAGACAAACTGTTCATCCTCAACGCCCAAGTTTTTTAACATCATTATCGTGATGATCGTGTGTGTGTGTGTGTGCGTGCGTGCGGGCCTCGTGGGACTTGTCCTGGCTATTGTTGTCGAATAGTAAAGAATCAACAGCTCAACAGTCAACAAACCCGAAAAAAGAGCTTCAAGCTTCATTTCGTAAAACGAGCACAAAACAAAAACACGCACACGAACACACACACGAACACACACGGCGACGGAACACCGCCAGCGACGACAAAATCTCCAGCCAGCAGCCAAACAACAACACTTTCCCAAAAAACCAGAGCCGGTGGAACGCCCGAGACTACGGAAACGACCGTGACCCCGCGTCTAATCCTCTTTCTTGGCGTGCTGCTTCTTCTTCTTGTTGGCCTTGCTAAAGTCGACGAGGAACTTGACAATGTAGCCGAGAATCAAGAGGAAGGCAAAGATGGAGGCGACCGTCCAGTGTTCACCGGCTTGCACGGCGCGGTAAATGTAGCGAAGGAAGAGGCCAGAGATGAGGGTGCACCAAGAGGCCATGGTCACGAGGGGGAAGAGGTGGCGCTTGATCTCCCACGACTCGCCGGGGAAGTGCTGGTTTTGCTTGTGGTACTCGAGCAGATCGTCCTTTCGGCTGTAGAGGTCGCGGCACCACTGCTGGATGGCGTCGGCATCTTGCGGGAGGTCCTTGATGTTGTGGATTTCAATGTTCATGTGGACTTCGCCCGACTTGCCCTGGAGCATCGAGCCCACGTTCGGCTCGCGGCCCTCCGGGAAGGCAAAGGTGACGTCGTAGACCTTGGTGACGACATCCCGAAGCCCCATGGCCGTGTACGCAAAGCCCTTGGTGCGCGGGACGAGCAAGTGTCGGAGCACGGGCAAGTTGTTTGCGCGGGCAAACTCCTGGCTGGCGCGGTGCTTCTCCTCCGTGTACCGCGTGCCTTCCGCAAAGATGACCATCCAGAACGGCAGGGGGAAGCCGTCGAGTGACTTGCAGGCGCTTGCGAGCTTGGACTGGTCCTTGTCCCACGCGCGGGAGAGGAAGACAAACTCCAAAAACCACCACGACCAGCCGAGGATTGGGAGGAACTTTGTGTTGCCCTTCATGTAGGCCTTGGCGCCGCCGAGGCAGTTGTACTTTTCGGCCAGCACGAGGCCAAAGAGCCAGTCGACGTCCGAGCGGTGGTTGCACAGCGCAACGCCCTGGTCGACACCGATGGAGGCCTCGAGCGCCTTGCGGGACGAGCTGGAGAGGACGACCTTGATGCCGGCCCACCACTCGGCAACCCAGATCATCTCGGACCAGTGGATCTGGATGATTGTGTGGTTGAAGCGGCGGTAGAGCAGCGGCGACACCGGCCACAGCAGCAGCGACGCGAGCTGGAGCACGTTCACGGCCAGCCCCGAAATCAGAAAGACGAGGCCAAAGAAGACGCCCGGGATGCCCGACTCGCACACGCGCGTCCACAGGCCCTTGCTGGCGTTACTGCCACTGCCGCCGTTGCTCGTCGAGCCAGCAGCGCGGCGATTCGTGGTCGCTGCAGCAGGCATGTTTCAGCAAAAGGAAGAAAGAAGAGCGGAAAGCGGAAACGGCACAAAAACGAAAAAAAGGAGTAATTGAATACAACAAAACTCACCCAACAAAATCATACAAAGTCCTGAAAATGAAATGAAAGAAAAAAAAAAAAACCAAAAAACATAAAAGACGTCGGAATAAAGAGCAACATTGGAAAAAAAAAAAAAAAAGAGTCAGACCGCCCGTTGTCTGGAAGAGAGAGAGAGAGAGAGAGAGAGAGAGAGAGAGAGAGAGAGAGAGAGAGAGAGAGAGAGAGAGAGAGAGAGAGAGAGAGAGAGAGAGAGAGAGAGAGAGAGAGAGAGAGAGAGAGAGAGAGAGAGAGAAGACCAGAACAGCAAAACAACGGATGGAGAAGCGTGCGAGTGAATGCAACTGGGTGAAGAAGATCTACGGCGGGGATTTCGTGAGTCAAATTTGCCGACCTCCTCTCCGCTTTTGGGCAGCTCAGTCTTTTGTCAAGTTGGAAAACAAAACAAAAAACTTTCAAGATGCCAGAAACGGGAAGCAAATCAGGCGGCGATGGCGGCGCGGGCGCGCACAACAGCGCTCAAGGCAACGGAGGCGGCTGGCCCTCGACGACCGGAAATCCGTCGGGCGGAGGTCGCTCGAACGCGGCTCCTGGCGCAACTGCCACTCAAGGCGCAGGTGGCTGGCCGAGCACGACTGGAAACCCCTCCGGCACCGGACGCAGCAACAACTGAATGGCGCAGACCGGCTTTTTGCGCCTTTTTTGTACATAGAACGCCACTTTTTTTTTTTTTTTTTTTTTTTTTTTGCCTGTACCTTATCGCTTTTGCGCACTTGTACCTTTCATGTCACAATAGCAAAAAGTTTGAAGAGTTTTTATATAGTACATAACGCCAATGCAGCAAAACGACAATTTTGCATTGAGCAACAACAGCAACAACGACAACAACACCAACAACTTGCTTATTTTTTTTTTTCCTGCATGATTTTGGTTTTCTTTTTCCCTGGCTGGATTCACTAGTGTTGATGGGCAAATGTTCAAGATGTACATCCGAAAACGAACGCGACAGGCCGTTTGCATTGCGTTTTTGGGTGCCGCCCAGCGGTTCAACACTGGAATTATGTGAGGGCATCTTCGTCACGAAGATACTCGCCGACATCTGCTTGGTGGAAAACAATGATACCCCGTGGGATCGAGCTTTCGGCAGTCTTGCGTCGAGTACGCAGCGACGCCAAAGCCGAGCGGGATGTCGTTCATCGAGTAGACAACAACGCCCTGGTACCTTGGCGTGTCTTCTGTAATGCGACCAAGACCCGACTTGAGGACGTGGTTGCCGTACAAGTACGACTGCTCTGCGTTTGGCTTGACCCAGACCTTGAACTTTGCATAGGGAGCAAGGAACTCGAGTGCCGTCACCTGCAGGCGGAACTTGCCCGACTTTGTAAACTTGCCAAAGCACGTTCCGAGCGACATGAGGTTATCCCGGGCAACGCTCGTCGCCTGAAGGCAAGTGCAGCCCAAAAACAAATCGGAGAATCGCACGAGAGTCAGAATATTGCACTTCTCAGAAAACGGTCTCTGAATCTCAGACTACGAGTTTCCCCATTCTCCCATTCTCCTCCACCTCTACCTCCACCTCCACCTCCAAATCCCCAATACCCGCACCATTTCACATGAGCTGAAGGGCTGCAAAAGTGATCCACATCAACACACACCTCTCGAGCGATGAGAAACCGACCTCCCATCAGCTCCCTCACATCTCGCTCCCTCCCGCGCGCTTTTTTCAAGAATCGCTACTTTTCGCTCCCGCTCAAGATCGCCCGTCTTGCGGTCAAGCAAAGGTCAACGACAATCCCGTTGCCTCGTTCGCTGCTCCACGAGGGCCGATCGCTGTTCTCCATTGTCGCCCTCCCCGTCGCTCCTCCTCCCTCCCCCCCCTGCAACCTTCCCTGAATCAAAAGTCGGAGGCTTTTTGGACGTGCAGAGTGCCGGTCAGTGCTGCAGTGAAGGCGGAACTTGACGCGCCAGTCCGCACAACGCCAATGCAACGCCAATGCACTCTCATCCACATGGCTAAATCCCTCGTCCCCGCGTCTGTCGTCCTGCACTCCTCGACCGATTCAACTCTATGCACTTTCCAACCATGAAACCCCTCCCCCCGCTCCCCGACTCCTCGAAACAAAATACGAAAGGCACGCGCTTGGACGGAATGGCTGACCTTGCGCATAATCTCCTCAGAGACGTAGTACACGCGGTCGCGGTGCAGCCGGAAGCAGTACATGCCGTCGGGGCGGTCGATCAGCAGCTGAATGTTGCCGCCAATGTAGTTGGCGAGCTTCTCAAAGAAGATCTTGGTCTCGTCTTCCGTCAATGGCCGCATTTTCACCAACAAGGAAGGGGGTTGAAAATTGTATGAAGAAAGATGGAGTGGACCAAAGGAAGGATGGAAAAGGAAGGATGGAAAAGGAACTGAGACGGATCCAAAAAAGTGGGAAGAAATCTCAGAAACTAAACAAAAGAGGCAACTTGACTGAGCGGGAGGCGAAAAGAAGGAAAGTGGATGAGGTTTGAATGGACAGAACACAGCTCGAACTCTGTGTCAACCGTAATGTAAACCAGCTACGTGAATGCTCTGGTTGAACCGTTCAAGCAAACCATAGCCCCATTGCGTGTCAGTTGGCAGAACACATTGAAAGTAGAGCCAGATTTCAACAGAGCGGACCGGTCTTTTTTTTTTTTTTTTTTGCCGCTTGTAATCTCTCTCCGCTCAAACGAATCGCACCATCTCAAACGATAAACACCAATATCTCATTCATAACACACAAAACACAATCCGTTTCGCATTGCCATCCACAGCTTTCAAAGAAAATTGCCGCGACTATTCTCCGGAATCCGAATTCATTCGCAGACAAGCAGCAGCAGTGCTATTTATGTTTGGCTCCTTCTGCTGGTTGACTGCTTGGTGCAGATGAAGCCAAAGGAGTGGTCGTAGCCAATCCCTCAGCGGCGCCGTGATCACCGCCTTTTAATGGCGGCAGGAAGGTTACCGGGTGGCGACGATAGAATGGCCATGGCGGAACAACCAACTGCGATCGGCCAGTCAAACAGAATTTCAAGCAGCCAAGCAAGTTCGAGTGAGAAAAGCAGCCATCAAGGTCGCATGAGGCACGAAAGGCATGGCTTTCCACACGGAACGAATCAGGCAGTGACCCTCGCCAAATATCGCACCAAGTGCCGCTCCTCTTCCCTTCTTGATATCTCACAGATCCCAAACGGCACTCACCAAAACGCAGAACGCGGCTGCGGCTGCAGAGAGATACAAGGTCATCATAAAGTCTTGAAGCATCCAGCCAACAGCGAACGCAATGACCTGTCGTCCATTCACCCAGCGACCAACAACAGCACCAAGATCGGTGATTCCACGATGAGCATGGCAGGCTTGAAGGAGTGAAGCAAAGGCCCTTTCCCTACCGCTGAGCCAGACAGAATCCAAGTGAAGAGGTCTTCAGCGAGCTTCTGGCCATGGTAGTCCTGCAATGACACACACACACACACGCACACAAGAGCCCAATGAGTCACACAGCAAGCGCATCGCATCGCATCGAGTGCATGGGAGGGGTTGGTCGTGGCGACCAGAAACACCCCAGTTACGGATGCTGAATCCGCAGCGCATGCGTCCTTTCAAAAAACCTCAGACAAGAGGGGGGGGGGGATTAAATGCTGGTTGAACAAAATAGAAAGCTCATTTACAATGGACGGGACAGTGTCGACCACTCGCTTGAACAAGGAGGTCATTTTGGTTTTCTGCGTGTTTGCTTGTTCAATGGAAGGACTGGATTGAAGACTGACACAACCAAATTCTACGCATAACACATATCTAACACATCCATTCCAACAAGTAAACGACAGAATCATGCCAAACAGCACAACGTTCAACACCGAAACGCACGGGCAAAGACAACAACAACATCAACAACACCACCAACAACAACGACAACAGCAACTCGCTTTCATTTCACAGCGCCAGCGCATGGAACACATCAGCCCGAATGATCTACGTTGGCATAATTGGTGGACCCCTCTGGGTTCTCAGGTTTTTTCGGGCGGTTGGGGGAAAGGTCATCGTATACGGGCGCGGAGGACTCGTAGACGGGCTCTGCTGCTGGCACCGTATCCGTCGTCGAGCCCATCATCGACGCGTAAGCGGACGATGGCTCCGTGCGACCCACCAAGTGATCATATGTCTGCGTGTGCGCGGAATCTTGCGAGGGGTCGAATGTGGGATTGTGGAAGAGCACGGGCGGGACGTTCGTCATGGGGTGGATTTGATCGTACACCTCCTGATCTGCAATCTCGGCTGTTGCGGCTGCTTTGCGATTGTTGCGGTTGAGGGCACGCACAACAAGAATCAAAATCAGAATGCCAATAAACGCGATGGGAATGACGACCGCCGCTGGCAGCCAGACTGGCAGGCTGTCCGATGCAGCTGCAGCCGCCGAGGCCGCAGATGCGTACGCAGCAGACGCCAGCGAAGTCTCGACGGCATGCGCAGACGAGGCAGACGATGCCTGTGATGCGGCGCTGGCAGCGGAGGATTGATGCGCGAGCACCGTTGCAATGCTGTCGAGAGACTGGCGCGACTCGGAGGCAACGACCGCGGCGACGGACGAGGCAGACGAGGCCGCTTCTGCAGCCGCATCCGACGCAGACGAGGCAGCCACGACAGCGGCAGACGAGGCCGACGAGGCAGCCACTGCAGCCACAGAGGTCGAAGCGCTCGCCGCCGATGCAGCTGCGACGGAGGCCACAGTCGCCACTGATGCAACGCTCGTGCTGGCAACCGATGCAGACGAGGCAGCGCTGGCCAACCCAGCCGACGCCGATGAAGCGGTTGCTGCCGAATAGAGACAGTTGCTCCCGACAAGACTGTAGCCGCTGTAGCAGGTGGAACAAACTGTCGCGCTCGTGCAAGACAGGCAGTTTGCTGGGCAGCAATTAGACGAGCTGCGGGTGTTGCCAAAGCAAGTGGAGCATGCCGGATCGCAAGCTGCATGGGGAGAGGCAACAGCCAACAAGTCAGCGCGCAGCTCTTTTGGTACACAGTCCTCATGCAATGACTTACGCCGAATGACGTTCGATGTATCTTTGAAAGTGCTTGGAGGAGTGCCAACAAACAAGTTGGAAGTAAAATCAACGCTCAAGGTCGTAAGCAGCCCTTTGAACAGCCCAGGCGGCAGGGTTGTGAGGTTGTTATTGTTGAGAGCTCTGGTGCAAAACGCGCGATGGTAAGCATTGGTTTTCACAGGTTTCGATCGAGGAGCGAGATGGCAAGCCAAAGAAAAACAAAAACAAAAAAAAAAAAAAACTGCTGGGTTCAGGACTCTTACAGCGTGGCCAACTTGGTTAAGCCTGTAAACGCAGTGGGCGAAATGGAGGTGATTTGGTTACCATCCAGCTTCCTGTCGCAATGTCGACGTTGTCGTTAGTGCTTTTTTTTTTTTTCCCTCACAAACGAAATTGTCAAACTACAAAGGTGACGTACAAGGTAACAAGGTTGGGATACGACGTGGCGCCTCCCATCGCAGGAACAGTGGTGATTCGATTGGTGCTCAACCACCTGTGGGCGAAGAAGCGAAGGTCGGTGAGAACAACTCAGTGAGGGCAACTCTCACCTCCGAAAACTTTTTACGAGTAGCTGCATACATGATCTGCAAATTAGCCGGAAGACCCCAACTAGCAATGGTGCTAATATCGATGATAGCATTCTTGTCCAAGTATCTGTCATGCGCGTGGTCAGAAGGACAAAGTCAGACACTCAAGTTTTTCATGGTGCAAGTTTCGAACAGCCACGTACAGTTCTGTAAAGTAGGTGCCCGAGCCGGAAATGCTCAAAAGTCCACTAAACGCGTTGGCGGCAATGAACGAGAGCGGGTTGCAACACATGTAGCTACGGATTGTGGAGTTGAACGACACAGCGGGAAATGAGCGCCAAATTCAAAGCTTCGCCTCCCCTCTGCCTCATGCTGCCATCTCGCTCCAAAGTTCGGATTACATTGACTTTGGATTCGGCAGAACCGTGGAATAATCAGGAATGGTCGTCAAACCATTGGTGCCGCAGTCAATCAGACCGTTGGAATTGCAAATGCACACACCGCCATTACCACAGGCAGGTGCGGCGAACGCCGGGCTGATCAAGCATGCCAGTACCACTACCACGACACTCAGCAGGAGGACTTGGCGGGACATGCGTGTTTGAATTTACTGTCAAAATTCCACGACAAAAACAGCAAAAAGCAAAAAGCAAAAAACAAAAAACACAAAACGGTAAGCTTTTTTTGAGATGCAAGCAGCGAAATTTCAATGAGACTGGACGACGCATCCACGTCTGCACCATACACTGGTTGACCCGATGCAACTGTTGCTGCAGGTTTGGTGGTATTGGGCGCAATCCATTGGTTGATTATATTTAGGCGCACTTTGTTTTTAAAAATCGTTTTGTTTTTGTTATCTGTTTTTGTATTTTTTGACATTTTTTGGCTTGCGCAATGTGGGCTTTGTGCCACGTTGTGGTCCTCCGCCGCAAGCATCTCACCTCTGCAGTTACTCTCGTTTTTCCCAATCCTCCCTCCTCTATCGTCCCCACACACGCTCCAGGTGCAAGATGTGTGTCACTTGGGAGCACACCCGTCGGCTGATTTTGCTAGAAAATGTTGTAATTATTATCAACTGTATTTTTTTTTTTTTTTTTTTTTATGGTTTTTGTGGTCGTTCTGTGTGATGCATTTTGGCTTGCACACACGAGTCAGCGTCGCGCTCTTCCTGTGCACAATAGTCCACGAGGGCGCCTTGCCAATCGCGTGCAATGCAGCGACAGGCCAGCCCCCACACACAGCCCACCTCTCCAACCAAACACAAGAGAGGGGACAGCGTTCGACGCATTCGCAACCGGGGAATTAGCGGCAGCCATTATTTGTGCAATGAGGCGCTATCGGCCGACCTGCTTTCTTTTTGCGTTTGGACTCATTTCCGCAATCTCGCTCGACCCTCTCTGCACGCACCCCGCTCGCGAGAGGCAAGTGTCGCATTGCAGGATTGCATAGCAGACTGGCTTGGCTGCACAGTGCGCGCGCAAAGAGAGACAGAGAGACAGAGAGCGAGAGAGAGAGAGAGCGAGGGCGTGCTTTGGCGGGAACGGGTGATTGCGGGTTCCTCGTCATTCCACCGTTTTGCCGTTTCCCCTGGTCCCACTCGCTCAATCGAGGAAGCATCTCATGGTAGTCGTGAACAGCGAAAAAGGACATACTCGCACACACAGCGTGCGAGAGAGCGAGAGAGCGCGCGTTCGAGGGAAAGCATGGACTTGAAGCGGGTTTCACATTGCCAGCCCCTTCCTGCCTGCCTTGCCTCCCCCCCCCTCTGTTCCCCACCAGAGGAGGCAAACTAAGTGGGAATATGACGATCTTCTTACTGTTGCAAGCGGGTCAAGCAGAAGAGCAGAGAAACAAAAGATACAAAGAAAACGACAGGAAACAAAAAGAAGAGAAAACAAAAACAAAAACAAAGACTGTTTGAATACAATGAGCTGTAACAGTCAGAAAGGCGGACACCAGAAGCTGAATAGTCACTCTGGTCAGCATTCGCATTGAAAAGGATGCTCATTGAATCGAAGGATGGATGCGGTGTGCTCGAATGACAACCAAAATGACGGAAACTACAGAAACAACAACTCAATTCTGTGACGCGAACAACGCCTCGGTTTCCCATTGTCCTTTTCCCGCATTCACGTTCGACCAATACCGGGCCAATCCTGCATCAATCATCGTGGTGGAGGCGCAACCATACATGCACGTTTTCCTGCTTGGGAAAAGCCTTGGGAAAAGGGTGCCATTTTGGTCTTTGGAATATAGCCGAAATTTGCGCCGTTCTGTTTGATTCTTCAACCTGCGGTAACGACAGAGTCACAAACAAATAAAAAGGTCGACTTCCGACATGAAACAGGCCAATCGTCAGCAATTTGCTCTTTTTTTTGGGGGGGGGGGAAACGCGGACGCGAACGTGGATAAAGCGGGGAGTGGCTGTGTCACCGAATTGAGATTTCCCACGCTTTGGCTCCGTCGTCAGGGGGGCGAACGGCAGAAAAGCTCGCATTCGTGCGTCAGACTGAAGCTCGAACAAGATACATTGAAGGCTCGTCTTCCAAACCACAGTACGGCAACGCAGATGTTGGTGCTGCGACTGCTTACCTGTTTCTATCGAGCAACGTTTCAGCTCAGCGCTCGTGCAACGTGCTAGATTGTTCCCATTATTTGTCCGGTTTTTGATGATTTTAGCATATTTTTTTTTGGTTACATTTTCATGACTCCGCCGCCTATCTCGTTCGCACCTCGTTGCGTCCCGCTCCTGCGTCTCACGTTGGGTGTACTGAGCTCTGTTCGACGTTCGGGCCTTTCGCTGTTCTTCTGCCACGAAAACCAGTGATTTGTGAACAATCCTTTTGATCGGATCATTGCGGCTGAATGGAATGGGTGAATCAGCTTGAAGAGTTTCAGTGTTGCAGAATTCCAGACAGAACCCCACAAACCCCACCTCCCCGACGAGCGAGGCGTTGTGTGCTTTCATATCAGTCGACACAGGTGCATTGAACGGAGACAAGCTCGTCTCTGCGCCTTGTTGTTATGATCTGATCTGATTTTGTCACATTTTTCACCCAGTCGTGCTTTTTTTTTTTTTTTTTTTTTTTTTTTTTTTTGAGTATGTGTTTGTGGTTTTGCCCATTTTTTTTTGTTTGTTTGCTCTTCCCCGGATGCCTGCTTTGCGTCGTTGTCTTTCATTCCGCTCATCCCTCTTCACTCACTTTATTTCCCTACCTACCGTTTCGTCCGCTGGCTGCTCTGGAACAGATCCTCTCGGTTTTCAACGTGATCACGCATTTGTAACAAGTTCTCGCCGCCGCAAGTTTTTTTTTTTTTTTTCTCTTTTCTGCGGTCCGAGCTCGCTTCCTTTTCTTCGTTTCGGGCATCCCACACCAAGGCACCATGGCTCCGCACCGACCCTTGACCGTCCTGCGCCGACCTGTCGTCGCCGTCCTTGTTGCTGCCCTGGCCCTTGTGCTCTTCCCTCAGCACTCGGCTTATTCTAGTGAGTTGATTCATTTTTTTTTTTTCGTCTCTTCGCTTCCATCGCCGTCTCCCACGCTGCTCCCTCCCTGCGTGTCTCGGCGCCCTGCCCCCACTCGTGCTTCCGGGTCGCACTGCTTTTACATCGCTCTTTGTGCATCGCTGGCTGCCTGCCGTGCGATCATGCGTGATTACGTCGTGATGGCCACTCTTCTTTCCATTTCTGGCGAGGTCGCTCTTTTTTTCCCCTTTGAGAGCGTTTTTCCATTCATTGGCTGACCCATCCATCCATCTGACATCCCAACCTCACAAGCTCAGAAACAAACAAAAAAAGCAACCAACACAAAGTGACTACTTTTTCACGCCAACTGGAAGCTTGTTGGTGCCAAAAGTCTCACGATTCTGACTTTTTTTTTTTTTTTTTTTTTTTTCCCCCGCTTCCTTTTCCTCTTTTCACCTCATTCCTTTTCCTCAGATGCCGTGGGCATTATATGCCCTGTTCAACCCGCCCGACGAGTCGCGGGCTGCGGCGAAACGCTCGAATTGATCCTGAACGTCAACTCGGTCACGACACATTCGATTGAAATTGCTTGGACAATGTTCGCTCCCACTGGAACCAGCGAGTACCAGGTCTATCGCGACGGCACCTTTATTCAGTCTGTCAGTATTGGCACATTCTCGTACAATGACACTGGCCTCGCGCTTGGAACAACCTACTCCTACGTCGTCCAGGCCTTCAATGACGGCGGCCAACCGGTACGACGCGTCATTGCCGTCGGAGGCTCCATGTCCAGCAACTCGGTCACCCAGCAGACGGCCTACAACCCGGCCTTGAACAGTTCCAGCCTCGCGTTGTCCCCTTCCAGCTCCTGGTCGATTTCCATGAGCTGGTCGTCGATCGTCGTTGATTCGGGTGATACGTTCAGCCTCACTCCTGACATGACCTACACGGTCGCGTACGCCCCGTCCACCAATCCGGCCCAGCTCCTGGCCTTCAGTCTGAAGAACGAATCCTGCGTGCTGACCAACCTGCAGCCCGCGACCGCTTATCAGGTGGTTCTCACTGTCGCTAACGGGCTTGGCGGCACAACCACGCTGAGCAGCACTGCGATGACCATGGATGAGGTTGCGCTCAGCGCACCCCTTCGCGTCGGCTCCAACACGCCTACCTTCTCTATGCTTGAGCAAACGAGGGTGCTTGTCTCGTGGGGCAACGTGTTTGCACCTCAGCAGCCAAACTCCTTCCCAGTCACCTACGTGCTCACGCGCACGTCTGGCGCCACCACTGCGCAAATGACGTTGAATGCCACGACTGATTCTGCTTTCTACGCCACCGGGCTGAGTTTGTACACGTCCTACACCTTCTCTGTGACTGCCACCCAGAACGGCTTGACTTCGGTCAGCGCCAGCGCCGTCGTCATGACTCCCGCTGGCACTCCCGTTCTCGCTGGAGCCACGAGTTCCACGCGTTACGTGAAGGGTGTTCTGTTCACTTGGCCCAATCCTGGTGTCACTCCGAACGGACCCACGGTCTCGCCAGCCACCATGCAGGTTTCGACCAACTTTGGCACGTCCTGGACCAACGTGACCACCAATGCACTCAACCTGACCACAACCACTTACACGACGCTCTCCTGCATGCGCCGCTATGTCAACGCTGCCAACTTTGTCTCCCTTGCCCAAACAGTCTCGGCTTATCCCTATTCGTGGGAGCCCACCTTTGACAGCTTGTTTTGGAGCTCCCTTGCCTCGCGCGGCTCCACTTGGTTGAACTTTACTTGGTCTGCGGCGACCCCCAACGGACCTGGCCCTGTCAAATACCGGGTTGTTCAGCTGCCGTCGACCACTGTTGTTGATTATACGTCGCCGCTCAGCTCGACGTGGTACAATGTCACTGGTCTGACTCCTTACACGAGCTACACGTTCACTGTGACTGCGCGCAACCAAAATAGCAACGAGTCAGCTGTCCAAACCACCGCCGCGCTCACCACTCTTCCCGATGTCCCCGTTTGGATTGGCGCGCCAACAACCGCTCCGACCGCGACTGCTCAGTCGCTTAGTTTCGCGTGGAGTGGCTTGCTGAACTGGCGAGGGCCACCCGGCTCCTACAATTGGGTCATTTCCCCAGCTCCCTTTTACGGCAGTAGTACTGGCTCGACCTTGCAGCCCTCCTTGACTGTGCCGTACCTGGAACCTTACACCCAGTACACTCTCACGTTGAACGCAACTCAAAGTGCCGTGTCGGGCAGACGCGCCACTGCTGCCCCCTTCACGTCCATCCCCTACATTTTCCAAGCAACGACCTTGGCCGGTGAGCCGGGCTGGGACGCCAACGGCATCCTGGTTTCGGCTGGATCAACCGTCATTTCCACTCGGTACGTTGCTGTGACGCTGACGTGGACGAACGCGGTCGAGGCTGGCACACCGCTCTTCACGTGCAATTTGACCGCGACGCCCGCGTACAACATGTCGACCATCCCCATTCTTTCCGACTCGACCGTCACAACCGCCACAATGCTCTTCCACATGAACACCACAGTCACCTTCACCTTGTCCGTCACCAACCAAGTCGGCAAATCGGCAACCACTGTCGTGCTTTTCTTCACCCCCGACTTGAGCGGCTCATTGTCGCTGAGCAAAAAACACGCGGCCACTTCAGCGTCACTGAGGGAACAGACGAACACGTTTGCATCCTCTGCCAGCAGCAAGTCCTCGGCTGTTGCCACCTCCACGCACGCGACGGGCAGGCCTGGCGTGGGCACGTCTCCTTCGACTGGTTCTGGCGGGATTCCGCTGGCTGCCATTGCTGGCGCCATTGCCGGTATTGTTGTGCTGGCGATTGTGATTGCCATTCTGGTGGTGCGTCGCCGCCGCAGGCGACAGCCCAACGCTCGTCGTGGCCAGGCGAAGGGATCGGTCGCCGAGTTGTTGCCCATGCATGACTCGGCATTGGTGGCCATCCGTGCACCCGCCGCGGGCGCGCGCAAAGAGCCCACCAGTACCACCGCCCAGCAGCAGGCGCACGACCACGATCACTACCATGTCTACGCTCAGAACAACGACAGCCACCACAACGAAGAAGTGTATGCTGCTCCCGGCCCTTCGACCAACTCCAACCGTCCGCGCGAGTCCGTCGTGTACGAAGGCACTGGATCCGTCTACTATAGCCAGGCGGACAAGGCCGGCAACAAAACCTCGCGCAACAACCCACGCGATTCCTCAGTGTACACAACGACCAGCCCCGAGTACGCCCAAATGGATGGAAGCAGCACCATGTACGAGACGGCCAATCCGATTTACAGCTCTGCCGATTTGCTCCCCGGTGCGAGACCTGCCATCTCGACCGCGGCTTACAAGCAAACCTCTGGCGCTCGCCACCGAGACTCGAACATTTACGCGACCACGTCCACCCCCGCCCTTTCCGGCCCTGATGGCGGCGCAGATGAAGAGTACCGCGAAATCGAAGGCACTCGAGGCGAATACTACTACGGCAACGCCAATGCTCGAATCTACGGCACGGCCTCGACCACGGCCAAGACCATTCGAGGTGCTCTCAAGCTCGGACGGACGCTCGGCTCTGGCGCATTTGGCATGGTTCATCTTGGCACACTGGCGGCCAGTGGCCTGCCCAGGGACAGCGAGCATCTCATTCCTGCTGGCCAAACGAGCCTCCAAGTGGCCGTCAAGCTGCTGCAGGAGGACGCAGACGAAAAATCGCGTCGCGATTTTGATTCCGAGGCTGCCATGATGAGCCAGTTCTCGCATCCCAACATTGTGCTCGCGATTGCCGCTCTTGTCGAAGAAACGCCCCACATGCTCTTGCTCGAGTTTTTGCCGTACGGCGACCTGCGAGAGCTCATGATCAAGTCCAAGTCGGCGCTGATTGCCTGGAAGCTGCCCGAGTTTTCGCACGTGCTTGCTCAAATTGCCTCCGGCATGGTCTACCTCGAGTCTGTTCGCTTTGTGCACCGCGATCTGGCGGCACGCAACTGCCTCGTTGGTCCTGACCTGACTGTCAAGATTTCTGATTTCGGGCTCTCGCGTGTGCTGGAGGAGGATTCCGACTACTACCGCGTCCAAACGAAAGGCCGTCTGCCCGTCAAGGTAACAACAACATTAACAACATTTGCGTTATGTTGCAGATGGAGTGCTGTTGTAATGCACAGGACTGACGATAATTTTTGTGTTTTTTTTTTTTTTGTTTTTCCCCCCCCCCCTTTGTAGTGGATGTCGATCGAATCGCTGGTCTTCCGCACATTTACAACTCAGTCCGACGTGTGGGCCTTTGGCATTGTTGCTTGTGAGTTTTTTTTTTAGTTTTGCGCGTTTCGCGGCTTTTGGGTTGGATCGTTGCTCAACCCGACATGTCTTGTTTATCATGTTATTTTATTGCAGGGGAGGTCTTCTCATACGGCAACACGCCCTATCCTCAAATCGCACCCATCGACATGGCTGTGCACCTCGAGAACGGCGGTCGTCTTGGTTGCCCCGACAGCTGCCCGCCAGATCTCTTCCAAACCGTCGCTCAATGCTGGGACTTTGACCCTGCCAACCGTCCTCGGTTCCAAGACCTGGCCGACACTTTTGCGGCTCTTGTTGGCAGTGATGTGCGCGACATTGGTGCACGCCTTGCTCAGAAGTAGTCGTCCGTGTTTTTTTTTTTTTCTGTTTTGCTTTGTTTGTTTGTTTGCGTGTCCCCCCCCCCGTCTCCATTTTAGCTGTTCATTAGTATTG